ATTTAACTCGAATTTTGCTACAATAGGCTCTGTTCTCAACTATGGGTTGTCTGTAACCCAGGTGTTCTTAACCCTGGGACTGCCTGTATACCACATTAAGAGTTTGTTAAAGAAGGAAACAAATATAAGTAGCTACTAAGAATTTGCACCAAATGAATGATGAAACTGGGTTTTTGTGACTCGACAAAAAAGAATAATGTATCATATACTTCTAGCATAATAAAAAAATTAATGAGTGTTCATTGGACTTAGAGACCTCAACTCTTCAAAACAAAATCTTAAATTCCATAAAGATGCTAACCTGTCATAGAGGAGAGCTCTACTTGTCACAATAGTTTTAGTGGAGCTATAAAGCAGGCAGTGATGTAACCTATCAGCCTGCCACCAATAAGTTCAAATGTTATGCTTTTTGAAACCTAGATAATTAATTAATTAATTAATTAATTAATAAGATAATGGTTGCCTTGTTCAACATCTTGCAACATTGTCAAAAGAACTCTATGATTATGTGGGGTATCAACAGCATGTAAAATATAAGACTCTTTCATACCCTTTGGTTAGTCGGCAATGTGTTAATTGGTAATGTGCAAAACCTTTTATGCTACTCCTAAGATGAAATGCGAAGTGTTCATTCTTGCTTTGAACAAGGTCTCACCAGCAATGAACTGACACATACTGTTTCCAACTTGGCTAGCACAAAGGCAGAAATACTCAGGTTTCTTCCACTTCAAATTGGGTAGCATTTTCAGGTCTATGGATCCCTAAGCTATTCTGAGATACAGGGGAGGAAGGCCTAGTTTTGCCATCCATTAAAAGGAATCACACACTGAGAGGGCAGAATCCAAATTACATTAATTGCATTTTCCTCCTTTTGAAATCAAAGGGGTTTACGTTAAAATCATGTCTAAGGGTAACTGATGATTTAATCCAATAAATCATCACTCAGCCTCCTGATTAAAAACAAGTCCAGAGGAAATGCAATTTCGCCAATTAGTCACCAGGTATATGAGGCTGCAACAATATTTCTAAACCTTGTTTCCTTCAGTCTGGATGGCTGCCAAATCACTCAGGGATAAAAGGCATGACTTGACCTTCTCTTTTCTTTCAACAGCAATCAAGCTATTAAAAACTGGAGGAAAAAAATAGGAATTGGGTCATTGCAATGACAGGAAAGCCACAATAGCACAATATAAAATTCTTCAGGCAGAAGCACATACTCAAGGCCAAAATCCTAACAAATATAGTAAGGTCAGACTTACCACTGCAACTGCGTCGCTAGAAAGTATAGCATTAATGTCCAACACGGTATAGTAAGCTATATTGGTCAAGATGTAGATAATTGTCACAACTGGCATAGAAATAGCAATAGCTAGAGGCAGATTCCTGGTCAAATAAAACAAAAAGAAAATACCTTAGTAATAGTCACTAGGCACTTTTCTTCCTCCAACAAATAACTGCTTGAAATCTGGAATATCATCTGTTCATATTTACAGTGATTACAGAACCATGTAAAAACTTAAGAAATGCATTAAAGCACATTAGGTTTTTCAAAAAGTGCTTTATTTACATTACTCCATCTGTTCCAGAGGCTGTTAATGTGCACTGACTGTCCAGAGGCTCACATGATGTGAGGATCCCATCAGAGACTCACATTCCATATTCCCTCCCAGTGACTGTATATAAAAACCAATATATCAAAGAAACCATCAGACTGGAACTTTTGGCTCCAAGGCATGATATGATTCTGTGGAGGAGCATTCAGACATGCAAGCTATAATATATAATCTAGAATCCAAATGTGGTATTAGGGAGATGTGAATTCAAAAAAGATGATAAACTAGAACAAGTTCAGAGGAGGGCTACAAAGATGGTCCATGGTCTGGAGACCAAGCCCTATGAGGAATGGCTAAATGGTCTGGATATTTAGCCTACAGAAAAGATAGCTAAGGTCCTGAAACACCTGAAGGGCTATCACACAGGAGGAGATATAGACTTATTCTCTATTGCTCCAGAGAGCAGATACAACCAATGGGTTAAATCAACAAGGAAGAAGGTTCAGACTAGACAAGGAGAAACTCCTGTATTGTATGAGCTATCAACTGTTGGAACAGGCTGCCACATGAAGTGGTGAGCTTTCTTTCACTAGAGATCTTCAACAGGCTGGATGGTCACCTGTCAGAGATGCTCTGGTGGATCCTGCACTGAGTAGGGAGTTGGACTAGGTGGCCTCTAATGTCCCTTTCAACTCCATGATTCTACGATTCTAAAGTATGAAGCCCAAACATGTTTACTAGGCATGTGCAGACCCACTCTTTGGGGAAAGGAATGTTCTGAGAATTCTAGAACATTCCATTTCTCCTCCAGACCATGCTGGTTCAGTCCAGTCTTTTCCAAAAGTTACTCCTACAAACTGGAAGAGATCTGGGGTGCTCTGGATATGATTCAGCCCCAAAACAGGTCTGCTTCATCCAAGTCTAGAACATTAAGATTGTGCAAACCAGCACAATGTGATCAAAGTATTTCCAAGTCTTTACAACACCATTGTCCTGCTTTTATTCAGAACATTTTTACAAGCTCCTGACAATGTCATCTTTGATTGGGCTCCTTCTGTGCTTTCCATCAGTTCTTCCATGTATGTTTTTACAGAGGAAAATCCATTAAGCTGGGAAAGTCTGAACTGCTATACAATAAATTGTGATGGACCCATCTGAAGAAGACTCTATAAAGTGAGGAAGACAGGCCAGTCAATTCCACTGTGCGGATAGTTCAGTGTTTCTCAACCTTGGCAACTTTAAGAATACTTTCATACCAACAGTTCTTGGTACTGTCAGTCCAAAGGCACGGTGTAGCCATTTTATCCTTCTTTAATGTTATTGTGTATGTGGGTAAAAAAATAATACATGGAAAAGCTAGTAGGAATATACAAGAAAGTGATAAATGGGAAATAATATGTGCACACCCAAATGCTATAAATAAGCGCAATTAACTAAAAAGCTTGTTTGGAGTATCTACAGGATAACATGTATAGTACTTGGACACTCTATCCCACCCTGTCATTTTTAAATCAAACTGCACAAAACATTTACAGCTCAACACTATTATTTTATAGAGATTTAAGCCATGAAAAGCAGGTATGCTCAACTGCCTCAATTCGGCGAGCAGTGTGCTACATTCTGTTGCCTACAGCAGCCAAATTTTCTTTAATGAATCTCTTCAACTTCATAATTGGATCCTTTTCCTTTTATATTTGCATGATTCAAAGATACTGATATTAATGCATGCTGTTTCCTTAATTTCTGGGGTCAAATTCTGTGTCAGTTGAAAACTTTGTGAGGGTCTTTAAACTTTTTTTTTTTTTTAAATCAAAGCTCCAAGAAGTTCCTACCTTTCTGGATTTTTGATTTCTTCAGTTACAAAATTGAGAGTGTCCCAACCTGAGTATGAGAACAAGGCAGAATAAAGTGCAAGAGAAATGCCCCCAAGGTTCCAAGATGATCCCTCAAAAGTGTCCTGAAAGTGTTCTGAGTATCCTGGATATAAAAGAAAAACAGAGAAATAAATGCAACGTTAGATTGTACAAAATGAAGTGGTTGACTTAGATCCTGAGGCAAACATATCAGAAAAATTTCAACCATACCGAACCTGTGATACCCATAACATAATATGATGCAATGCAATACCTAGCCATAATATCACAAAATTGCTGAATCTGACAAACTTTGGGTAATCCCACCAGAAACTTAGCAAGATTCCATATTAAAGAAGGCATTACAATCGGTAGAAACTCTGATGGCTATAGAAGCTTGATTCCATAAAACTTCAACTCAGAGATATCCATGCTCCCAGCAATTCCAGGAAATTCAACATGCCCATTCTTTAAGCACCCATTAAAAAAAAAAGGGGGGGAGACAAAGTCATATCCCTCTTTTTGGAAATGTGAAAAAGTCCTCTGCTTTAATCTAGAGCAGAGGATTTTGGATTCAGTGTCTTAAATGTGCCAGGATTGTAGATATCTACTTGTTCAGTTTCAAAGAACTATGAGAAAACAATACCAACTTCCTTATTTTGGGGTCTGTACCAGATAATCTAACTTTAGACTAATCACATATTAAATCACCCAATAGACGCCCTTTCGGAAAAAATGGTTTCAAAAGTACACACAGACATCAGGGTTTAGTCTTATTTTCTTATTTGATCTCAGCCACTAGGAAATAGTTTTGAAGTTGCTCCAACAAGATCAATTTGTTTATACGAATAAACAAATACAGGTACAGGATAATAAAAACAAGGACAAATAGGCTGAATAGCTTTTATCTCAGAGCTGCAACTATACTGAACTCTATTGTATAGTTCTATTGTGTTTTTTATTCTATGGTTTTTATATGTATAAGGTGCACTGGGGATGACATTTAATTTCGTTGTACGAGGTACAATGACAATAAAGTTTACTACTACTACTACTAGAGCAACTAACTATTACTGTACTTGCATTACAAGGTGGTGATGAATGAGTAAAAATGCCCAATCCATAGTTGGGCAACACATTTATTACAATCAAAACACCATACAATAGCAAGTTAAAATTTCTCCTGAAACTTCATTCAGCTGGATGTTAAACAAAGGAGGGGAAGTTGGATCTATGTTAAAGGTGCAAATCTACATTTAATTGTGGATATACTGAAAGGACAGACATTTTATTAAGGTACATCCATTCTCCATTTTTCAGTACACAAACCATTTTTCCAAGTTGTATTTTTTTTTAGACAGCGGATAAAAGAAGTTTAAATAAAAAACGGTTTTATTAAAACTGGCAGTTAATTGTTTTTATTCAGTATGACTTAGAAAACCAACTGCAAAGTTGTTTCATAGGAGTTTACCTACAACTCTCTGCAATATTTAAAGTGATCAATATAAATCAGGCCCTTAAATCAATTTCATCATCTTACCTCCTTATGAAGAACCAGGGCAATGGACGGTGGTTAGTTACAACAGAGACAGCTGAGTTACAAGGATGTCAAAGCAAACATAATATCAGAAGGGATACGATGCATTATGATAATGTATGTTTCTGCATAGGCCAGTGATGGCAAACCTTTTGGGCTCAGCGTGTCAAAAATTCGGGAAATGCCGAACTTGACTCTGCTGGTGTGTCAAACACACACACACACCCACCACCCCGAACAAAAGAGAAACAATTCTTTACATATTCATTTATTTAAAAAAAGACAGTCCAATCATGTGTGGTGCTACGTATTAGACAAAGAAACATCAAATAATTACAAAAATGAAATACAAGTAAAACAAACTCAGTTTCTTTGGT